GGCATGTCGATGTGGTAAGCATCATGAACTGATTGTTTCTTTCGGCGAGTGAATTGTTCTGGGGATGTCCTGGAAGCGACTGGTCTAGTGGAATCCGGAGTTCCTTGAGTGCTGATTCGAATTGTGGCGCATCATCCGAGTAAGCGTTGGTGACCTTTCTCTTACCGATATAGTGCTTCATTGCCTGCACCACTTCGTCACTATTGCTCGCTTTCAATGGATAACCCCATATCACACCAGTGAACCGATCTCGAATCACCAATATGTCCTTATCCGGCATGATCCCATCTCTCGCCATCTTCTGAGTGTTCATGAGATCGAAAGTGATAAGGTCACCGAATGCCTTCAATTTCCGTTTGAAAGCTCCCTTGCTAGTCTTGTAGTGCTTCATCTTTGCTCTCACACATGACTTGCAATATGGGTTCTTGTATCGGTGCGTCATCAAGTGCAATATGGATTTCGCCTCGTTCTTCAGCACTCCTGGTTTTGATAGTCTGGTTTCCCCGTCAACCACATCGACTTCCAATAGTCCCTCTTCATCTTCATCAATGTCACTCTCCCCTCGTTCAGAATCCGCATCACCTCCATGTTCGTCGCCTCCGGCTTCTTCAGGTTGACCTTCGTGATCACGATCGAATCTCGGGTCTTCCCCGTCATATTCCTCTTCAGGAGAATACCTGTCATCACCGTGTTCCTCTGGTTCTCCTTCGGCGCCTGCAACAGCTGGATTGATATCAGATTCACCATCCTGACCTCTCTGGTTATCTTTCTTCTTTCTCCTCCGTCTCCGTGGTTTCTTGGGCGGAAGTTCCTCTTGTTGTATCCCCTGACCTGCTGTGACCTCGTCTTCATGCCCCACACCTGACAGTATGCGATGAAGTATCGTAGCCAAGCCGTCTGGTCTTGGTAAACATCTCCCGTCATCATCATTCACCTTGATGTAGGGTATGTTGTCATGCACCGATAGCGGAATCTTGTTCGCGTTCTGGTCGATGAGGTATGGCAATTGATTTGCCGGCCATATGAATGAGTACCCTTGTTCCATGCACCGTTTCCCGATGGAAAAGACTGATGGTGTGCTCTCCAACACGTGTGCCTCGGACCTCATGGGTAGCTCGTCCACATTGATGTCCACCATCTCTGATGTACTAGTTACACCATTCGCTGTCATGAAGCTCACGGATTTGGGTCCTTCCTTGGTGGTAAGGCCCATGGCATTGACTTTCTCTTTTGAGATCAAATCGTGTCCACATCCCGTGTCCATGATGAAGCGTATTGGTGGTCCATCATACCTCTCCACAGCCATGAACATCGTGTCTCCTGGTATCGTGTAGTTGACAGAATCCTTCCTTACTACCTCTCTGGTGTTGAAATCAGACAGGTCGACGTTCACCTCGATTCCTTCATCTTGAGTGATTTGTATCCATGCCTTGGCAATGTGTTCAGCATAGAATAGCTCCATCATCTTACCTTTGGCATGTGCTACTCGTGCAGCTATATTGCTCACTCTGAGGGCTCTCAACGACGAAATGAGCTCGGTATCCACCTTCTGCACCTCACTCTTCTTCTTCCTGAGGGGACGGATGTTTAGCTCGTTACCAGGATCGCAGGTGAACGTGGTCACATTCGCCTGGTCATCAAATCTGACTTTAAAGCGAAGCGCCAGCTCACCTTGTTGTACGTTGGGAAGTGCGGGTTGTACGTCCTCGTCATCACTCTCGATGTCTCCGCAAAGCATGAAGGCTGGCGCAGCCGGTTTGGGCTTGGCTTTGCCTTTAGCCTCTTGTTTTGTAGCAGGAGCAGCGTGATGCTGACGTCGACATTTGTCCCCGAACTTGCACGATCCTTTCTGCCAATTCCAACAGACCTGATCCTTCATTGGCTTAGGGCTACTGCTCCTGCCACCAGGACTCTTTGATCTGTCACCCTTGAGGCTTTCTGGTTTCTTAGCAGAACTCTTGTGCTTCTCTTGGTGACTAAACTTGCATTTGTCTCCTCTAGAACATCCGTTTTTCCCATGGAAGTGGAAAGCGCATCCTATCTTGGACGTATCTGCTGGAGTCGCTGACCTGCCACGATCCCCTTTTGGGCTCTTCGTGGCTGATCTTCCACGATCCTGCTTCTTGTCCTTCTTGTTATGGTCCTTCGGATTAGCCTGAGGAAGTACTGGAGCGGCGTCATGTTTCGGTGGATCGGCCTTGGTATTCTTGGGTTTCGCTTTAGGGTCCTTCTTCTCCGCCGCTGGTGTGGCTTTCACGATGTTCCCAAAAGCTTTTTCCCTTTCTTTCTTGTTTGTGGTCTCAATTGATTTCCGTATCCACTTCGTCATGATCTCTCGTAACTTCTGGTAGGTCTTATCCGGATCCTTATCCAACATGTTGTCGTACACAGACAAGTCTAACGCCATAACTTTGGAATCCTTAATCTTATCCCAAAGCAGGTTGCGAAGTGCTTTGTCAGGAAGCATGTCATCCGCATCCATACCTGATATGATCTCATCCCACTGTCCAAGGAATCTGGATAGTTGATTATCCCCAGGGAACTTTAGATCGAATAAGTGCTTGGATGCATACATCACATCAACGTTGTCGGCACTCCGGAAACTATCGACGATCAACGCTAACATTTCTCGTCCCTTGACCATTCCAGGAGTTGTGCCTCTCGCACGTCTCTGCATCATCTGCCTCACCTTCAGTTGTACGTCATGAGATCTCTCACCTGCTGCGTGGATGATCGTGTGTAGGGTGATACCTAGCTTAGCGTCTATGCTAGCGAATCTTGCTTCGCCTGATGTCTCGAGTAGAAATGGGTCATATGGTGATCTGAAGGCATCCGAGAGCCATTGGATCCAGTCTTCTTGCTTCTCGTCGCCCGATGCCGTCACGACTGCCGCTACAACCTGGGATTTCCAAACCTCCAAGTCGTGTATCTTGGGCCATGCAGGGATGTTGATCTTCTCGTGTTCCTTCCGAGATATCTTGGAGCCACCTGAGCTAGAGGATGAAGCGGCACCATGTTCGGTTGCGGCTGCATTCTCTGCACTTGTGCGCTCCTCTTCGTACCTCTTCCGGTACTTATTCCTTTCATCTCTGAGCCGTGACGCATGCGCTTCGAATTCCATCATGTCCTGTTGGTTCTGCATCATACCTTCGTAGTACTCAATTGCCTCTTTCTCCTCGGACCTTAATAACTTTTCAGTACGTTCAAGTTCCGCTCTAAGCTTGGTCATCATCTCATTCTCTACACTGGGTTCTGATCCCATGTCTGGTGGTTTCAACTTCAGTGCGACCTTCAATTGTGCTTCACTTGCGCTTGATTCGATCAATTCTTCCTGAAGACGTTTCAGCATCCTCTCTTTACGTAGAATGTCCTCTTCCAACATGTTCATCTTGACTTCGGCCTTCTTGAGTTCGGCGCTGGATGGTTGAAACGGTCGATCGGATCCTTGAATCCTCGTCTGAGTCAACTCCTCGTTCGCCTTCTTCAATTGCTCTCTGATGCTCAAGATGAACTTGTCCTGAGTATTAGATCGGTTGTTGAGCTCCTCATTCTCTTCTGATAACCATTTGATCTTGCTTGCATACATTGCTTCCCTCATCTTCATCTCTTCAGCATATTCGTGTTTGTTTCTGGCACTCTGTCTTTGTAGTCCAACTAACTCCTGTCTACACAGATCCTTGACGTTCTCAGCATCTGCGATTGTAGTCATGACCTCGGTTACGGCTCGATCTCTTTCTGCCGATATAGCCTGGATCTCTTCCGTGCCGATGTTCACAACTTGACTAACCATCTCTGCGCTGTTGCGATCAGCGTACTCCCCTAACTGGGTGAGACGATCCCGCATTGCCACACGATCAGTGTCCATCTGGTATTGCAGGTCGTGTGCTGCTGAGAGCAAACAGTCTCTGGATTCTGTAAGTTGGGTGATTCTTCGTTGATTTCCATATCCTTCGACATAACATTCTTCGAGGTGTGCCATCACTACTTCGTGGACTTCGGTCTCGTGTTGTATAATCTGGTTCTGTCTCTGCTCACGTTCGACCATCCATGCGTTTTGGTGGTTCAACATATGCACTTCGGCAAGTAGTTGCGCACACTTCGCATTCAGGTCTCCATCGGCCCGTGCTAGTTGTAGGTTGTCAGTGCTTGCCCTTGCTCGATCTCCAGCTTCGCTGTCCGACGGCACTGGTACAGCTGACCCATCCTGCAATGCTAGCGCTCTCACAGCTCCGGTGTCAGTTCTCCTCCTCGTCTCCCTAGGGCTACGGCCTGATCTCGGTGTCCCCCACGGTGGTGTCGAGTGCGCTGACGGGGAACGACTTCGTGCTCTACCTGTCGCAACCTCTCTCACCACTGTCAGAGTCTCCGCTTCTATCGTACCTGGACTGGAGTTGTGGGATGCACTCATCCGATCTGCGGCCGCAGCAGCTGCTCCAAAAGATGCAGTGCTGGCGTCGGATTGGTCCATCTTCAGTGACTGAGGGTAACTGATCTATCCGATGCGTGTGCGTCTAGATGGTGTTGTGTAAGGCCGCAGCTCGCACCCAGCTCAAAGGAGTCTGGATACGGCTGATAACCTGCGAACGGATGGAAAGGTGTGCCCTGGCCCCGTTCTAGCTCTTAGGTCAACATGAAGCTCGCGCGCTAAAGCTCCTTTTTACCTGGTTGGGCACTTGAGCCAAAAGTATATGGCATGTACCTGTATAGCGACTATACTGGGACCCCATCCCTATTGACAATTTCAATTGTCTTTACTTCGAGTGATCCCCACCATGACATTTCATTCTGACATATTTTTTGGCATGTATTGAACATATAACATATTGAAAAAAGAGTTCGCCATTCTTTCTCGCATATCTTCTGACATTTTCTGAGAGGAGAGGAGAGGAGAGGAGAGGAGAGGAGAGGAATGCAGGAGGAGGAGGAGGAGGAGCAAGGCAGCTGACATAAAATCTAACAACCCTCACCTGACAGGTGGGGAAAATAATGAGCTAGGCTTCAGGTTGGAAGTTGTACTTGGTCTGGATCTCCAAACACTTCTGCCTCGAAATGGCTATCCAGCCGCTGGCGTTCTTCATCAATTCTGTATCTAGGCCCTGCCCTTGCAAATAGCCCAAGGAGTATCCGTAGAGGTCATCATAGGAATAATGGTTTGCGTCCATGTAGCTTGTGATTACCTGGCCCTCAAAATTGAAAGTGATCAGGGGACCATGATCTTTCCCGCGGTAGTCACCCATCTTTCTTAGACCAAGTATGCCCTCCTTGGCATATTCGATAAAATCCTGATCGTTATCAGGTAACGGAGACACCCAAAGAGCAGTTTGATTGAAATAGCAATAGCCATCCATTCCTGGATGTTCGGCCATCACCTCTGGAACTGGCCGATAGCAATCCTGCCCGTGAGTGTGCACTTTGCAGTTGTTGCTGCAGAAGCTGTTGGCAGTTAGATCGCATATTTCGTAGATCAACCGCCCGCAATTTGTCAAATGTCCTCCTGCTCCTCTCGCAAACTTTCTCTGTTTTTCCACCTGGAGCAGAAAATTGATGCCTGGCACGGGTTCAATGCAGTCCGCCATAGCAACCCCAATACTAAAGGCAATGAAAAGCATGGCCATGAGTCTTCCGCCGCCCTGCTCAATGGACTTCTGTGAGCCACAGCTATCATCAGATGCAAGCTAACTCAGCATGCCCACGCTACCGAATCATGAAGACAAACTTGTTAACGTTACCAGTTCACCCTCGAACCGCCCCTATGATAGAATTGAATATGATTGCCCAATCAATGATGGATATATTTGGGGAGGGTTGATTGGGCATGATAAATATTCATATCATAGTGGCGGTTATGTAAGACTTGTGAATCAATATACATGATAAATCTATATGATTTATGATTATTTATGAATATGTATGATGTTTGATGCCCAAGCAACCCTCCCCAAATCTGGACCCCAACGAAACCTGGTTCCGTTATTTGTTGACATACAAGACTTCCGCAGCAAGCAATTTGCTGCGGGCCGGGTTCAAGGGTTCTTTGAACCGTTCCAGGGGCAGCGCCTCTGGCAAGTTGGGTATTTAGATCGAGATTTAAACAGTCACATAAAATAACACTTGCTTATGTAATGCATCTACAACAGGGTTAAAGCCATGTGTAAAAAGAGCAAGAACACCAGTCAAGTTGTAAGTTCCATGTAGTACAATATATTATTGTTAATAATTAGCATGGTTCAAACCGAATATAAAACCTAAACAAAGAAAAAAACAGCAAACGCAAGCGTGTCTAATTTCAAAGCACCACTGAAACCAAAAAACACGCTCCCAAACCCCGATGAAATACGATGAAATACGTTCAAAGGTCATCGCGCGGAACTTAATTGCTTAAAGGTGAAAAAAAACAGATCAACGGAGCGTCCAATGCCGTGACAAACCGTGACGGTGGGAGGGCCCGCGCCAGCCAGGCGCTCTGAGGAAGACACACGTGTACTTGACTTCGCTCTGAGGAAGCATACAGGCAACAGAAAAAGAAGTCCTGGCCCTAAACGATGAAATCATCAGAGATCCATGCGGGACTAAAGCATGACATCGTCCTTTCCCTGTAGCACACTGGGGTGCCCCAACAAAATTTGCTCTCCCTGCAACTAATATATGGAAGTGGAGTTCACCACCTGTTTGTAGAGGAAAAATGGTCTTCCAAAAGGCCATGCCATCCACCTTCCATGTTAGTTCCAGGGTGTAGGACGGATAACCAACGGCTGGCAGCTGTCTGTTGCTTCGATCTCCGATCCCCTACCCCCTACCCCTACCTACGACCAGTCGCTCCAAGCACGGAGAAGGTGTTCTGGATCCTTTTCGGGATGTCAACCTCTACTATGTGGAGTCATGTTCAAGATCAAGCAGAACACAACTCCACATAGTATAGAGGTTGACATCCCGGATGTTCGCTTATCATCTCGCTTATCTCTTTTGAGGGGGGAGGGAAATCAATACCTGCATATCACTCCTTGATCTTGGAGCTCCAGAAGGGCGTCGGCGAAGCGTGCCGCCGGTCGCCTACCACGTACCAATCCTGGCAGAGGCCACATCTGCGTTGGAGATGCACGTTGGGTGTGGGCCTAGGCCTCTGGATGCATCCGATTCGTAGGTGTTTTGTATGGATGACTCAGATTCAAGAGCTTGCCTTCAGGGAATTCCATTCCAAGCCACTCACTGAACTGAATCCCAATGCAAACATCAGTTATCACAAAAACACTCCAAATTACATCCAAGTTGTGAGGGCATGGTTTAGTTACTTTTGGAATACTCTCAAATTCCAGTGCGACCACAAGGTGATCTCGATGGGCCACTTCACAGATGGGCCACGTTGACCTGCTGCAAAACATGTTGTGCCCATCTGTGCAGTGTGTAGGTGCCTACAATAAATACGGGGTCTCTCCGAAACCATTGATTGTTTAATCATTGGTCTACGTCGATCTATCCCAGCTTTCAAAGACCATGAGAAGATTGGTTGACCTGCTGTTGTATAGTCGAAAGTTGAAACAAAAAATTGTTCGGTAAACTTGATAAAAACCACGCAAGACCCATTAAAGTCAAGGGTGTGTCCAATCCTAGGCCTTGCCGCGGCCCTGGGATTGGACGAGTGAACAACGTGAAAAACAACTCGCAGCTCGCAGCTGACGCCGCCCCACCCCAAGGCCGAGCCAGTCCTGAAAGTTCTCGGATGCTAAAAGTACGGGATAAACCTCGGTGGTTGACCCTGCAGTGCAACGGCACTTGAAATGTTGAATTGGTTGATAGACCTTGCCGAATGTTGCTGATAAGCACATATATTAGTTTGCCGTTTGGTTTCGTTCTTTCATCGTAATGAATGGGTTTTGTTTCTAGCTGGTTGTTCCACTTTCCTGATTCAAAATCCATTGGCTGCTCTTCACCACGCACTCAACGCGCAAACCCTTCCAAACTGGCGCAAACTATTCCAATGTGGACCTCGAAGGCTTTGACTAACAGATTCAAGAATTTCAGTGCGTGGGCTTTATGGATCCACTTTGGTGGGTAACCGGCGTTCTTCGCCAAGTGTCCTTCCAGCACGTGTCCCTCCCGTATCTGTCCAAGAGACTGCATGGATGTTTTTGTCAGAGAGCTTGGGGTCGTTCAATGTCAGCCCCACCTCGAAAGCCACCTGCTCCAAAGCGGTGTGGATGGAACTCAAAAAATACTCACAAGTTGTTGCTCAAGCTGGCTTCAGTCTACATAATGTAGCCGCTTGCTTCAGAAACGTACTTTCCCTTGTGCCAATGCGTTTGGACAGCAACTGGCTTGTGGCGTCATAGCCACATGGGCTGCGCGCGCGGTGTGGGCACTCACAGAGTTGAGGCGTCACGTGTCTTTTTGGATACGAAGTATTCGGATGTGACATGGGGACTGAGGACAAGCAGGTAGGACGTGTCAAGTGAACGTGCTTCACTAACTTCCAACAGCTTCCGCGCAGGTTTCCGACAGCTTCCTACAAGTGCTTTGAATGCCGCCACTGATGGATGATCATTCAACTGCTTCCATCCACCAAGACGTCCTCCATACATGTTTTTTACTCTCGAGGCACATTGCAGCAGTTCAGTGTGGTCACCAAGCTGTCATGCTAAGCCTGCAAGATTCTGGACTGTGGTGCGGTCGAGCGGCAAGCATATGTCAAGCAAAGATCTATGTCAGAAACTCATAAGCGGAAAATTTGTCGCCGTCCATTGTGTGAAACTGATAAACTGATTGTGAAATCAATATATATATATATAACAATATATATAGTAATAATACCTGGAGTGTCTGCGTAACCTAGCAAAGACATATCTGCCACCTACTCGAGTTGGCTGTCTTTTTCAGCCAAATCTGCCGCCATCCCCTGCCACCGCAACTCCGGAGGAGCTAGGCGACCCTCGGGTGTCTTTGCAAGGGATCGACTCGAAATGCCAGGACCCACTTGCCGGGCATGGTCAATGCTCTGGTCAAAGAGAGGAAACCTCATTGAACGCTCTGGTCAAAGGAGAAGCTCCGTAAAGGCTATGCCTATATAGACGAGAAGATTAAACTCAAAGGGAAGGAGCTATACTGGCAAAAAATACTTCCCTAGGGCTCCAAGTACCTTCTAAGAAGGTGTTTGGGGTGGGTTTAGAGGGTCCAAATACCTTCTGAGGAGGTACGACTGGAGCCCTAGGCCCTAGGGCTTACGAACTCGTTCAACCGACCCGACCTGGTGGCTCGCCACCGACATGTCGATGGTTGAAGTCATGATGAGGCAGAGTACTGGGCCACACGCTCACCCTCCCCCGGAGCCAAAGCCAGTCTGCGTAGCAAAGCAAAGATAGATTCAGAATGAGGAAGGAAAATCCCTTTCCTCAGCACGCATTAGAGATCATGCGTCAGGCATGTTCTCTATTTTGTTGGGGGGGAACCATTCCAACACTTTCAGCGAGCGTCCATGATCTTCTAGGGTTCCTGTCGCAGGAAACGATGGTGGTTTACAGGGAAACATCTTCCAAGTCTCTTGCAGTCTCCCAGTCTCCGTGCCGCCCAGGTGTGTTCCTGCCCTGCAATCCTCCCCCCCGCGTCCATCCGTCCCTCGTCATCCTTCTTGGATTTGCTTCAGGAACTTGGAAAAAATTTGCAGAAGGGGATTTTCCATGATTTTCCCATAGGGCCACATAGGGAAACCAAAAACAATCACACTAAGCCAAACCAGGTCTTCCGTTGCGCCCCTGGGACCAAAAGAGTTGGCCGCCAACACCCCACTCCTCTTGCCACATCTTCGAGCAAGAAGAGCCCGTCTGACAGAGGAAATAAACCAACAAAGAAAGGAGGATACAAGTAAGGGCAGGATCGGATTCCTCTAAAGAGAACCATGACGAAAGAAAGAGAAACGCTCGTCACATTCCTCTCGTCAGATCAAAAAAAACACCATTCCGCCCCGAAGAAAGAACACCCGAAACGCTAAGCCCAAAGGTGAGCTTCACCCGATGTTGTCCCTCCTTTTCCGGAAAACCTTCCCACACTTGCCAACAGAGGTTAAGTGACCTTATAGGACCCTACCACAGGGTACCTATGGGATAGCCCAAAAGGGTTCTTCAACCTCTGTTGGTGGGCCGGACGACTCCTCTCGGTCTCCCCCGCACCTCGGTATCTCCCGCGTGATTCAGCTGAGCGCCATTGGCCACGCAGCTGTAGTTGCAGCTCTCTGGGGTGCTCGGGATCGGCGTGATCTCAATCGGCCTCGGTCCGGTGGTTGCTCATACCAGGACCTTCCAAGAGGTTGTTTGGAGACCCAAACAGATCTAACAGGTGGTGAACCTGGGCACCTGGGCTGTTGTCACCAGGAAGCACCTGTAGAGTCGGGTGCTGGTAGAACGACTCAATTTTATAGGTTGGCAAGGTTAGCTTAAGCCTATTACTCCAATGAGTATTGCATCTGGCCCATTGTACTGGCGGCTACATAGTGTTGGTTGTTTCCTTTCATGTCTTTTCACTCCACGCACATTCCATCGCCCCTTCAAGCGCGCTTCAACCACTGGAGGCACCTGCCAGCCAAGTCTCAAAAGCTCATCTCACCCGCCACCTCCATGTCCCCATGCACGGTACTGTCCCACTCTCACCCGCGAAAACGTCCTCGCACCCGCGCGCCCTCGCCTGAAGTGCTCGTTCTCCCCGATGGCCCGGCCGCCGCCCGTGGGGATCACCGGCCACGCGGGAAAGGCCTGCGGTTGGAGCGGCGGTTGCTGGGACGGAGCCCGGCCGTGGAAACAGAGGGAGACGGAGCGAGGCGGAGCGAAGCGTGAGGGGGGGAGCGAAGAAGCCGTCCTTAGCGGGGGTGAAGAACAACATGAAGAGCACCAGAAGGGCACAAGTGGAGTGAAGAACTGGCCAATGAAGCGGAGCTGACGCGTCCATGTGTAGTTGGCGGTGATCTGGCTCTTTGAAGTAAGAAGATCAACATTTCAAGTTCATGGGTTGCCCGTAAACAGCGGTTCATGCCAGCACTGGCCGAAGGTCAGGTGGTTCTGGGCTCAAGGTGGTGTTGGGGCATTTTGCTTGAGGTCACATTGAGTGGGCCCAAATATGCCCAAATCTTAACTATAGTTCAACCCTTGAATATATCTCTGCAAAGCGCGGCTATTCGAGTGTTGAGTCCAACAAACATCCCAGGAGCCAATCGCCCTGCAGCACGCTTCCAAAGGGCCAAACAAAAAAAACACGAAGAAAGAAATAGACTTCAACGACCCCAACTCCCACCCCCCCAAACCAAACTCCCACCCCAACCATGACTTGGTTGGGCCACATGTCCTCCTTTCACGCCGGTCATCCCAAAACCCAAACCGCACCGGTCGTGGTGTGCCAAGCCGGTCGCGCACCGTCGGTCGGCCCTCCGCGCGCGAATTCCGCGCCTGGTTCCAGTACTCCGTGGGCATGGGACTGGTGACCAGCCATTTGGCCCAAAGGGGAAAGATCAAGAGGTAAATCACGAATTGGCAGATCTCAGCACCGAAAGACGCCGAGTGAGTCGTTCCGCGTTCCGAGTGTCGGGGACCCCCCTTTTTGGGGATGGGGATGGGGACGGAGGACGGGAGGAAGTCTTTTGAAAGGTCGGAAGCCCAAACCCTGCGAAGTACTTCAAAACAGGTCCAGATCAAAGACGAAGGGTCGTCTAAATCTAAATGGTGCTTGAACAAAAAAAGGCGGAAAAAAAGAGACTGAGTTGGGGAAGAATGGGGGAACATCATGGAACTTTCTTGTTGTGATAGTGTACAACTGTAGGAACGTCATGGAACTTCCGTCTGACCTGGACCCAAACGGCGTCGGCGTCGGCTCCTTCGACCTTTGGTCCAACGGCGTCGGTTGGGCGATCCGCCAAGGAGACACACATTGGGTCTATCCCGGCTGATGCTGGGGCCCGTGTTGGAGGATGCTGGGGGTCTGGGTGCAGGCCGTTCCATCACATTGATGATCACATTGATTTATGACCTTTTACAGACTGTGGTAATATATTAGGACAGATCCGAAAAAGCAACACATATGGGATTAGGACTGGCCCGAAAAGATCGTGACAAACAGAACCCCGTGTCCGAAACACCAACACTTCCATGACCCTATCTGGGACTGGAAGAGATGGCGACCGGGTTGAAAGACTGACCATGACTGACCCCTTGCCCCAGCCCCGGGCCCTAGCTGGCCGAGAGATGATGAGGGGTTAGAGTTACGTGAAGAGGCAGAGGCAAACAGCCCAAAGGGCATGAAATAGGGGTCTTAAGAAGTCTTATATAAGTGAAATAATATGACACGTGACAACTTCTCAAAACAAACCAAAACAACAATTAAACAAGAGAACTCAACTGTATACCTTTGCAAAAGTACCACGTAAGGAAGCTCAGCTCAACAGCTGTGACCCACGCACGTCGCCCGCGCGTATCACAACTGATCCTCTTAGTAGGTGACTTATCCACTGGCAGTTGGCACTCGGCGCTCACTACCTCCCATCCTTTATATAAATGATGGACTATAATACGGACAGCCCTTCCAATGAGTCCCCTCCCCTTCCCCAAGTCCCCCAAAAAACAAGCTGTCACCCCATGATGTCAAGACTCACACCCTGCTACATGACCCTGTTTTTGTTCCACTCATCTAAGACCTACGGTAGGTTGCGTGTTCGTTTCGCGTGACTCTTTCGCGCGACTTGACGCACAGCCCGAGGCGCATAGCAAACGTGACAAAAGCAGCTGGCCGTACAGAGCGGCCGACATCTCCTGCCACGACCACGAGACGCGGCCGGGACAGCGAGCGGTGGGTGCGGAGAGGCGGCGGGTGCCGCACACCCGGCAGGGAGTGGAGAACAGAGCATGCTTGGTGCCGGGGTGCTGAGGGGAGAAGCATGAGGTTGAAACGATCCCAGGTGCGACGGATGGTCCAGGATGGCCCCAGGTGCCATCGTTTCTTTCCAGGATGATCTCAAGTACGACGGCGGTCCACCCGTTTTCCAACTGCTCGATGGATTGGGAGCTGTCACAGCTCCAGCGATCATGCGAGAGAAAAGAAAGGCGGTTGGAGCATCGATGGGAGTGTCAACCGAGGAACCCTACAGTAAGGGGTGTCCAAGTATAGCTCCTGATCGAGCTGATTCGGGATGTCCATGAAAAGCACCCCAAACAGGCGGGGCCCTGGAAGATGACCTCAAAGTCTGGGAACATCTTCGGCCCGTGGTTTCCACCGGTTGTTTCCGTGCGACCTCAAATTGGACGACCTCACTTCCGGTTATCCATACCCCCTCCGGTTCAGCAAGTCACTCCCTTCCAAAAAAAAAAAGGAGCGAAGCAATCATCCTTGATGAATGAACTCGTCCGCAAGTCTGAACACACATGTGCGAAATGTTTTTCACACGACCTTCTCCCTGATCTGGGCAGCTCGTCACCCTGAGAACTTGAGTGACATACACCAGTTGATTATAGATGGCTTCGACTTCGATGTACCATGCCCCAAGTATATCTTATATAATCTGTATATCATATCATCATATACCATTCTGCAGTATCCTTTAATCCAGTTGCATGGCCGAACGCATCGGACAAAGACAGATACAGTATGTGGGGTTGAAGTTAAAAACGAAGAATGGCTGGCGGCTAGGACTTCTGTTGGCAATACTATGCAAATTCCCATCAACTTCCGCAAAAAGGGTCTGATGTGTTTCATGTCCCTGCTGCGAAGTCAGCCGCAGTCAGCCATCTTGGCGCTGGACTGGGAAAGAACGATCTCGTGACCCTGTTCACTCCAGTGGCATACCCTCCGCCCTCTCATCGACCGTTCTCGCTCCTTCCCCGCGGCTTGAGGTTGACGAGGGTGTGGTCCAACTCATCCAAATCCTCGTCACTGTCCTGCTGGTTTGGAGAGATTTGGAAGAACTCACAACCACTGACCTATCATACCGAATCATACCGAATCATAAATCCGAATCATTGTGAAGGATGGTCACTGTCAACAAGGATCTGTTCCAAGAATGCCCCTCGCAGCCCAACCCAACACTTGACATAGATCTAAATGGGATGAGCCACGGACAACCCAACTATGAACCTGCCTCTTACAAGAACAGCATCTTCCAAAGCTGGTGAAAATCTTCAGTCGGCCACTACTGGGCGTACCATGTAAGTATCATACAAACGTTGGATGATGATGGGGCCTGGTTGCAGGCCTTCATCTCGAAAACAGTGATAAGAACATGATAAGACGACCTTTTACCGAGGGCTAACTACAGGTACTAAATAAGACAAACCCAAAACATACAACTCGTACATAGTTCAAACACCCGGCCGTGTTGTTCGACCGGTGCGTCTCTTCACCCGTTCGTTGGAAAACCGCTGGAGACTCAGTGCGCCCTCTCCGTCCTCGCTCTCATTGGTCCCAGTCACAGAGGTGGACTCGTTCGAGGACACCGGCATGGCGTGGCCGTCGTTTTTAGACCAAAGGACACGCAGTCGATTTAGGCACTACTAGGGCCTGGCGTGCAAAAGCATGCGTTTGGGTGACTAGGCACGGGCGTTTGGCATGCTTTTTGGATGACTTTCGAGGGCGAATAAAGGTCTTTGCAGGTTTGGGGGGAAGGGCGGCCATTTGCGGAACAGAGTGGAACCAAAAAACGCCCATGATTTCCAGGGGTGGATTAGCCCTGAGATCTGATTCCAACAGATTGTATAGAGCCTAGTGACGAGCTCAAACCTTTAAGCCTTTTGGGAGTTTTGGAAGGTTGGATTCACTTCAATCCACTTCGACCAGGTCTTTCCTAAAGGGGGTCCCATGGTTGCCCCCCCGGGTCGGCCCTTCCGTTGCAATGGCGGGTTCCCGGTTCTTCACGGCCGGTTTCACCGACATCCACGGCGGATTTCGTGTGGCTCTGGCGTTGGGTGACCTGCAGTGGGTCGACCTGTGAGATGCTCGTGCACCCTTGACGACCGAGGTGAGGGGTCCACTGCAGGGCTTCAGCCGGGCTTGACCAGGCACCTTGTTTCAGCCATGCACGACTTGGGGTTCTTCTCTCTGCGCATGTCCAAAAAGAAGCGAAGCTGTGAGCCCAAGGGCGTCGGCATGTCTTTTTGTCGGACCGAGTCGCCCGTGGCGCTGGAGCACTATGAGCACTTGACATGTGTCGTCGTAGACATGCGGCATGTGACATGCTTCGACCGGTGGCCCCGTGGCCCCAAAATCCCCAAACAGGGAAGCTTCATTGAGAAACCAAGACCAAATATGGCCCGGAGTGTGGGTCGTAGGAATCTATATTGGGCTGGTCATGGAAAAAAATGCCTTCCATCCCTTCGATCAGGTGAAAGTGGACCATAGAGAAGGCCCGATCCACAGCAGAGACTTTGCTACAGTCACTCTACATACGACTCCTGTAGACATTCTATTCCCCGCAGTCTCTGGGCGGGCTTCGCAAGGCTCCAACATCCATTCACCTCCAAAAAAGGACCATGAATCTCAGTCATGCTCTATGTTATATATCTACCTGGACCCCCAAGGGGTGGTTGATGGACACCCCTTGACCTCTAAGGGGCTATTAATGGACACTCTTTCCGTGGTGCTGGTATGTTTTAATTGATCTCCGTTCGTGTGTCAGGACCCCCGGATTCCATAGCCAACTACCACGGCATTCCAAGCAAATGGCTGACATACCTCACCTCTCGGCCTCCCAAAGCACTTGTTCCAGACTGTGGGATGCCACGCCCGGAGCCGTTCTTTGTTCAACACGAGGTATCGAACCAGGGCAGATCCAAAATACCAACGCAAAGGAAGCGAGGCAAAGGAAGCGGAAAGCAAGAGGAACAGCATGGGCTAGGGCAAGAAAGACATGTAGCCTTCCAACACATCACCAACTAGGATTTATGACATCAATCTTCACCAGCAACAGACTTCCAAACGAATGCACACCATATCACACCATAAGTAAAGAGGGCTCCCAGGTGGTTGGGGCTTTAACCTCCCGAATCAGCTCTTGAAGTCATGTGTTCAGACCCTGTGGTCTAAGGAGAACTTGGTGTTCTAGAGATGGGGGATGGGTCGTTCCGACCGTGAAACTCCACCCATGTAGCTGTTTCCAACCCTTATAGGTCAGACCACTTGGCCATGGGGGCGTGTCCAGACCGCGGGGCCTGTCACAAGTTCTGCCACCTCGAGCGTTTTCTTCCGCGAGCGCGGAAACGCCGTAGCGCGCCGCGCCGCGCAGTCAGAGCTCGTTGCCGCGCGGTCAGCGCGCGCGCCGTTGTTTGGTGGCGCCTTTGGGGACCTGCGCTCGAAAAGAAGCGAGGAGGCACCACATCCGAAGCGAAGGTGTGAGAAGTGCGCTGCTTGTAACAAGGGCGTTACTACTAGTAGCAAATAGCTACTAGTAGCTTCTTGCGACTAGTAGAAATGCACGTGTATCTAGTAAGCAATGCACTTGTTACTAGTAGCTTCAAGGCTTTTCCGACTGAGATAGGCAGGATGGTCTTTTCATGGGTCAGATGGGTCAGATGGGTGTCTCTTCGATTACGACACTCACCAGTCTCCCGGGGCCATGGGCGATGGGAGCAAGCACATGATCAGTGGGGAGTGGTAACTAGAATCTATGGTGATCAATGATCAACACACCAAAAGAGACATGTCTTTCTATCATGGTCCAGTATTCTGTGACTGTCTAATCTGTGTACCCTGAGAGTCAAAGACTATAAAAAGAATGGTCTTTGGGGTACCTGAAAGGGAGGCATCCTTTACTTCACTGAGGCAGAATATTAGTCGAAAGACTTCTATAGGGTGTATGGCTTGTAGAGCAAAAACAAACATCGAACCTGAAACCACCAGCAACTTGGAAACGGTCCAAATGCATCAGCATCTGCACCGCGACCGTTGCGGAGCAACCCGAAGCAACATGGGGACGGGGGGACGGGAGGTTGCACGGACCCGGTCGGAGGCCACATCTGGTGAGGTCGCCACCTGAGTCGCTCCACTCTTCCCCACATCTGGGCTGGGCGGTTTTTGCGCCCTCTCTGCTCGTGTCGGTCGTGCACCCACGCAGCAGGGGCTTGGAAAACCCGATCCCGCGCGCTGCCAAACGCCAAACGCCACATCCCGCGCGCCTCAGGAAGCTTCTCCTCGGGCTTTGCGCCATGCGCGCTTCTGCTGAAGATTGAGATCCCACTTGGCTCTCCTAGCCAAAAAGCGAAAGGGAGACAGTCAAAGACATCCTCAAAACCGCTGAAAGCAACTCAGAATCTCTAGCAGTTTGGAAGGGCCTGAGGGGGTCGTCCTTAGGAGTCGTAGTCATAGATGGTCATAGATGGTCATGGCCTGGCGCCCCATGCACCTCCCCTTGTTCTCCGGTCCTCACTTTCTCCTTGGCAATCGCCACCGTCTCTTCCTTGAACCTGGAGACTCGCCGGGTGGCACTGGAGACCGGTGAAGGCTGGAGGCCGTGGAGGATGGGGCGGTGTAGTTGATACCAAAAAGACCTCAAGACCTGCCAGGCATCCTGTTCACAAGCAGACTTCGACTTCCGGCGCGGCCGCGCGGCCATTTGTTGGGGTTGGTTTGAGGTGGGGTGAGTGAACACCCCTGCTTGCTTTGGGAGTGAACAACCTGCTGCTGCTACCCGCCCCAAAAGGTGGATCGAATCATGTCCGAACAGAGAAAAGACCGCGAACGACGAACGCCACCCCCAACGCCGCACGAACGCCACCCGCGTTTTTCACGCTGGATGGAGATCGGCCGTGATGGCTCGGCGGGTCATGTTCATACGGCGCAGTCGGTTCATACACCCTGAGTCAAAGACTATAAAAAAGAAGGGTCTTTGGGGTACCTGAAAGGGAGGCACTTCACTGAGGCAGAATATTAGTCTTTCGACTTTTAGGGTACACATTCCATCACTTGGATTTGCTCGTCGGTTCTCCCGCTGGATCGGCCCGCACCAGTGAAGAAACGCCACAACAAACGGCTTTCGGGTCGGCGGGTCCCTGGTCCCAAACACACTTTAGGACGAATCGCCACCGACCTACTTGGTGAACGAACCACCATCGCCACGAACCTGGGGCGCGCACATCCAAAATCCTTACTTCTTGTGGAAGGGATGCCTCCGACTGTCAGCCCTGTGCCCTCCATCCTCTTCTTTAAAACTGCAACTGCAAGGATCCCAAAATCCTGCAGGTGTGAAAAGTCTTTTTGGGGCCCCACACCCACACCCCCGCTAATGATCATGTTCCGGCACCTCATGGACAACTTCTCCTGCATTCTCCGGCCTCCATCAAGAAATGGAGACGCAGGTCGCTAAGAAGAACTTTCTGGTGGGCAGTGAATGTTCAAGATGAACCCGTGTCCGGCTTCGAACCTGCGATGATAGATCACCCTGCATTGCAGAAACCAAATTGGATGGGGTGATAAACTACCTACACAGGTAGTAGTAGGAACGTGGAAACACTTCGTCGAACGTGACGAACTGCCTTGCCTTGATCTTCGACGGATGTTTCTTTGGGTCCAAACCGTTCCCAAGGGTCCAAACCACCGTCCAAGCTCGTTCGTCTTCTCTTCGAAAAAGGAACGATGCAGCCTGATGCAGAGCGTGTTCCACATGGCGCCTGGCGGCTTCATCTTGTTGTAGAGCTTCACGCCCTTCCGTTGCGCCGCCTCTTGCCAGGTGTCGCCACGCTCGTGCGCCACCTGAGCCACGGTCTGAGCCGAGCTGCACGAGCTGCGCGAGTCGAAGTTCATCGATCCAGACTCCAGACCCCACTGAGCCAAGCACCAGGACACCCAGTCGGGATGGTGACACCCCGAAGATTCAGCTGTTTGGGGCTATGACACCCCGACAGGAGGGTCCTGGTATAAAAAAATGCCTCAGTGAAGTTTCTAGGACATTCCTGAACTTTTAGATATTTGGACTCCCAGGGCCAAGTCTGTGTCATGTAATGTCATGATGCATTTGTCATATGACAATTATGATGTGGGTGTGTCTCTTCAGGCATCGTGACCCAGCCAGCTGGCTGGGGTTTGGTCATTTGTTTGGTTTCTTTTACCGGACCCTTCGAGGGGGTCGAACGAGATCATCTCCCTTCCAAAACATACACGCCGGAAGCTGTGGGGCCCCGGAAGCTGTGGGGTGGCTCATGGACCTCCCGAATTCGACTCGAAGGAGCTATGGACTCCCCTTAATTAGGGGGGCCCTGACTGACTGGGGCCCTGGTACTTGTTGTTGACTCCTGAAATCTGCCGTTTCTTCGCAATGACCACGTATCTCACTGACCTGCATCAAGGGGAAAGTCCGGCGAATCTCGCCTCGTGCACGAGGATGCGCTTCCGCTTGGGCCGCACGGGCACTTGCCCAAGCTGCACGGGCATGATCGGAGCGTAGTTCTCCTCCTGGTGCCATGAGCGGTCAGTGGGGGGGCGCTCTCATGCGGGGTACTGGAAGGTATCATGAACAAATCAGGGACGCAAAATGGCACGGACATTTAGAGTGTTGAAATAGAAAGAGAAAGAGAGATACACAGTGTGTATTCTGAGTGAGAGAGATGCAAACAAAAGAGTTGTGTCAACATTTCAGACTAGATGCCATTCAAAAGGGTTGTTGACATGCACAGATCCCCAACTGAAAAAAAGCAGCTACGGTTTCTCCCATCTGCGAAAATCCCTTCAAAAGCACGGTTCAACCCTTTCAAGGAGCTTCAGGGGGCTGGTATTGGATTGACAGCAGTTCAATCCGCAGCTTTTCCCGTTCAGCAACGTTCAGCAGCCGGTAAAGGCAATTGCATGAATTGGTCCACTGCTCATGTTCGACCGAAAGGCGCTTGCCCAAAGTCCGGCTTCTTCCTCTTCAACCCCCCCCTTTCATGCCGTGAAACACACACCACCACCAAAGCGCAGTCGGAACAAGTGCCCGGGACTCAATAAAGCACCTTGAAGTAGTCCAGCTGCGGCTGCCAAAGCCAAGAGGGGCCTCAGCTTGTGCACTGAGTCTGCACTTGTTTCATCGACATGAAGGCAGAGATGCAGACTTGTCGACCCAAAAAGAGAGTGCCAAAGTGCGACTCCCGCTGTTTCTGGGGGTAGTCTGGTCACATGGCTACAGCAAAACGAAACGGATTGAATCTAGTTCCTTCCTGGAACCCCAAACAACCGGAATTTAAATGGTTGTTTCATATGGCAATTGAAATCCTTTACATAGGAAATGGCTGTTTGGGGAAACATCAATTTCTTTCTGGTTGTTTGGGGTTCCAGATTGAAATTAAGACCAAAACTGCTCCCCAACATCGCTGGAAGCATCTCCGCACACTCTTCCTTCACGCTAATACTTCACTGCCCCGGCATGTATTTGTTTACGCCCTCTTGCTCCAAGTTCCACTACCGTTCCCCAACCGTTCCTCCCGTCCTGTCGCTCGCCCGCCCGCCCCGTCCACCTCTGCTGGGCGCCCCGAACTCTCGGCCTGGGCGAGCTGCGGCGCGTCCGAGGCGAAGCGCTGCAGTAAGGGATGGACCTTCTTCCTGAGCGCTGGCGGCGCGGGGCAGGCGGAGGTGCCCGGTGCTGGCGGCGCGGGGGTAGGCATGGTGGATGGGGGAAAAAGAGGGGGAAGAATGGGATGGGCGGTGGGTCAAGTCGAAGGTGGTGGGGCATGAGCCAGTTTCGTGGTGGATGGGGCGTGAAGGCCAGAGAAGAAAAGTCAAAGGAGGCCTAAGAAGAACTGAACACTTCGAAACCAAAAGAGCCTGCCGGAATGAAGTGCCTTTCGAACGAAAAAACACGTCCTTTCACATCCAGACCCGAAAGGTGAGGGTTTGGTGAAACAGAAAAGCACGACCCACTGCAACATCCAGCAACCAGTTCCTCCAAAATACTTGTCAACTGTCGCGTTCAACCCAGTTGACCAGATATTGACCTTGAGCCTCAGCGCTAGAACACACCAAAACCACACAAAAAAAGGAAAAACAGACTTGACAAACAATACAAAAAAAACTCCTTCAGCATCCTTCAGCACCTAGCAGGATGGACACCCCTACCATCTCCCAGAGTCTTCCTGTTGAATGAGTACATCACCCCGGACGATCCGCCCCGGACGATCCCTCCGACCTCTCCCACCGAGTGGCTGCACGGCCAGCTCCGGCCGCTCGGGCGTCACGGGAAACGCGGTTCGGTCTGGTGATGGAGCCAGGGACCGCGCCTGTGACCGGTGACCGCCCAGGTTGGTCAGGTGGTACTCTCGAAGCCCATGGAGACCCCAAGAGGCCCAGAGAGAGGTCACCAATGTGAAGACCAACAAAGGAAAAAAAAAGACATCTGAGACCTGTAGACCTGTATACAGTCGGGTGCTGATTGCTGATAGTCAGTGTTGTTTTTCTCCTTTTGACTTTCAATATCTTACAATCGAGGTCTCCGAGGTTTTGCCGCTGAGCCAACCCTGGGCGCGACAACACCTGTCCGGGACTGTTGCTTGGGACGCAAACATCAGCAAACCAAGGAAGGCAGGCAAGGCACACTCGCTATGAGCCGCTTGGATGGCATGTCGCCCCCCCCACGAAGAGGACCCATGATCCATCCGAATCCCGGTGTTGAACTGTTCCATCGCAATTGGGGAGTGTGTGTAAACCAAGAGAGGTTGAGAGACCAGAACTAGGACCCTGTAGTGGTACATATGGGATGGATTGGGATGGGCTATAGGCTATAGGATGCTATAGGGCTGTTCAACACTCTCTTGGAATGGTTTTGGAAGGCGAGGAAGGAACCCCTCGCTTCCTCCGAGGACCTCTGCGCGCACCTCTTCCATCACTGCGAGCGCATCGAGGGATTCGGCCTCCTTCTCCACGTCCTCACGAGAGGAATTGGTCGGGGAAATTGGCTCGGAGCAGTTGCCCCAAAGCCACCCTGCCTAGGGTGTATTTCCTTCATGCCCTAAGACTCCGGGCCCTCAAACAGAGTCGGTTTGAGGTCCCGGACCCCTGCTATGGAGGGTCCGACCCCTGCCCAAGGATTCTTAGGGTGGGGTCCATGGGGGTCTACAGAAAAAGGGAAAGCCGGTCTGGAGCACCTGGCGTGTTTCCTGCCGAGCCGAGCCACCGGGCGATTCTCAGTGCACAATTGATATGGCCTACTACTTGAAGGTCGCGAAGCACAGAAAGCTTGCCCTGGATCGATTTGCGTAACAACTTGGCTCCCCCCAGTGTAGATGGGGTCAGGGGCCTCCACAGAAGCCAGATTCTCAGCCCGCCTCTTCTTATGACACCCACCAACCAATGAAAAAACCTTTGTCTTTGGCCCAAAACAGGCGCCACCCGCGGGGGGGGAAGGGCGTGACTGGCGGGAGTTCACCTGTGATTACCCCTCATGCCGGCGCCCGCGAAGTCGCTTCGATGCGCTTCGTCCTCGGAAGGCGCTTCTAGTTGAGGAGCTTGCTTCGACTCCTTCCGCAGAAGCGCTTCAGCAAAACGGGGGGAGAAGGCTCGCTCCCAAGCCATTCAGAGATTCAGCCATCTCAAGGAGTCTCATTGAAAAATCAGTGACACAGGGAGTCTGAGGGTACGAACATTGAAGTGGATCCCATGGCTTTCCATTACGAATAGGGGGCCCCATCCACTTCCATGGAACCTGAGTTGCAGGGCGTGAGCAAAAAATATACTCTCCTATATTTAAGACTATATAATATACATTCAGCATGAGCACAAATAACTACAAATACTCCCTTCAAGTTCTCTCCCTTCTTGCTCCTCCAGCAGCAAGGGCTCTCGAGAACCTCTGCGGATCGCTTTTGGAGGCGCACGCGGAGGTGCCGCGTTGGCAACAATCCCCCAAGAAAGCATCATGAAGGGTAGATGTTTGACCATCCCAATTTCCACAAAACAAGTGACTAAGTGTAAGTTTGTTCATGCATAATCATGTATTGTGCCACACTGCTTTCCAAAAGACCAACCGTTGCAAGTCGCTTTTGGGCCATTAAGAATCAGCTGAGCTTGTGCAGCTTGTGCCCCCAGGCCTCCCCTCAAACCCCTCCCCTGGATCGCCTTCCGGGATGAGCTCATAGGCCTCCTTCAAGGAAAACAGGATCTGCGGCGGCGTCCGGGATCGACGCGCAGTCTGGTCGCATGGAGTGTGCCGTGGCCGTTGGAGGTCTCGGGCACTGCGCTGCGCTGCGCTGCGCCGGGGCGGGGCTCGGCTCGGACCAGAGGGGGAAAGGAGCGGTATAGAGTCTTGACTTGGTGCCCAAGTACGAGACAAAATCAAATCAAATCCACCAAAAAAACGTGAAAAGCATCGAACAGCTCTATAGTAGTATAGTATAGAATCTTCTAAAAAATCTCCCCCTCCACCATCTTCGATGATTCCTCTCTGCTACTTCTTTCCCGCCTCCAGGCCACGCACTCTGAGCGCCACTGGCGAACGGGGGTCCAGCTCAGAGCTCCATGGCACCTCGCACCCGCAGGGAGTCGAAGGGCCGCAGGGCTCGACTGGGCAGTTGTGAGTTCCACATGAGTTCCAGCAGATGGTTCGATCGAAGTCAATCCAAATGAAGATGTTTCAAAGATGTTCAAACGAATGGTGGAGATGGATCTTCAATGATCTTCATATGAAATCCCCTCTCAAACAAAAGTTCATGATCATGTGTCTCTGCTCCACACAACGGATTCCAAGCACTGGCGACCAGTATACTGCTAACTGGAAAGATCTGGAGAAGGGGAACGAGTTGGAATGAGGGAACAACTGCAACTGCCTCCTCCGGTAGCGCTGTTTCGAACTGCAGGAACTGTCCGGGGAAGAGTCCTCGGCTGCAGCAAAAATCCCAGGGAAGACTTGCGGTGCCGGCAACGGCTGGCAACGGCACGTGCAACGGCCAATCAGGAAAACCTGGGAGTTGGACGAGAAATGACAAACCGAAATCGTGTCAAAACGTCAATTGGATTGAAACGTAAAAAGTCCTGTCTGATTTCAATTTTCCTGTTAGCTCAAAATGCATAGAACTTGCTTGTGAAACAGTCCTGTCAGCTCCTACACCGTCTCCCACTTTCATGCCTCCCGTCAGACGGCCCAAACACGAACGAGGCCCATGAGCAGTTCCCCGTCGAACGGAATGCATTCACGGTGTCTGATCCTTTTTAGACCATCCAGAAAGGTGCGAGATGATAGTCCAGTAAACTCTCAAAAAGAAGGTTTTTAAAAAAAGTGGATAAATGTGAAAAACATGTAAACATAAAACAAACCCGAGATACAAGACTCATTAATATGTCCACCTCTCCAGAAGCTGATCCCATCACCATCGCATCCTCTCTTGTTTCTCTTTTGGACCCACCCTGCCGATTCCTCGCTTTTTCCAATCCATCCCACGCTCCGCCAACGGCGGACTCCGGGCGTTCGCCGTCCCAGCATCGGCGGCTGTCGTGCCAGCTGATGTCCCGTCGGTACACGCGGATCATGCGAAAGGCATCCTGCAGCCGCTGGGCTAAGACGGTTAAGATGGTGGTTTGAAATGTGTTGAATATGTTTGAACACTGTTGATCCGGGCTACCGGCTAGACCGGCTGCTTGAAAGTCACAATAGTCAAAAAAACAAAAAAGAAATAAAACACGGTTGAACATTCGCTGAGAAACATGTTGTTGTGCATCAAAAGCGTTGTGCATCATCAGTCTTCCTCGCCTCGCCATTGTCCTTGTCAACCAACACCCAACGTTAATGGTGATTCCTCAAGATTTCATCTGATTCATCATTGCAAAGAACAGTTATAACAGCTTATATCAGCATCGAGTCCTCGGCCGATGTCCACCCCAAATGCTTGATTCCCATCCCCGGCATCGCGAGGCCCGGGCGCCCAGAGGCGACCGCGCCTGCTCCTCGGATGGGATGATGAAGCCTTCGCCATTCTCCTGGCTTCGACCCACGCCCACTGGGCGCCGTGGGGGTTTCCCCGCGGGCAAAGTGTTTCAGGGCGAGGGCGAGTTCGAGGTGGGCGAAGAGGGTGAAGAAGGGTGAAGAAGAAGGTGAAGAGGTCGGCGAAAAAGGATGAAAAAGGAACTTTAGATCAAGGAAAAAAGGGACCCTTAAGAATTCACTACATAGTCGCATCAACAGTCAACATCCATCAACGATCCACTTGGAATTCCGACAGAATCGCATGGACCTCCTGGCTGCCATGCCATGCCTTCAGACCGCGCGCTTAGGGCGCGCCCACTCGTTCCGGACCGTCCACGTCCAGCCTCGTCCCACTCGTAGACCATGCCCGTTTGCATGCGCAGCACCCGCGGGTCGGGACCTCGACAGTCCAGGTTCCACGTCCAGTCACCGGTGAACCAGACGAGTCCTTTGCAACATGTTCTTTGTGTTAAATGGTTGAACATCAATTTACAAATTATTAGTTCAAGACCAACCGATCTGATTCTATACATCATTGATCTTTCCAAGCCTGGCTTTAATGACTCACCAGCTTCGGCTCCCAGATCGATGGTCGTGCCGGCACCACGGTAGACATCGACCGGTAGGTAGATCTCTTCTCACGAGGTACAGGTTCTCTTCTCTCGACCCGGGTCGCAGGTCGCATGTTCCATGGGTTGCGCCGGAGTCTTGCAAGTTGCACCTCTGGAAAAGCAACGACTCCATGGGTCGCTTCCAAACAGGAACAGCAACGACAGCAGCATGCCACAGGACATCGACCACCCGCATCCCCTTCCCTCTTTCAGCAGAGGCCTTCGGCCTTCATCCACCTGCTAAAAACAAAAAACAAACAAAAACACTGTTGGTATCTGTTGGTTGAAGGGTTTCTTGAACGTGTTGGACCCACCCTCTGAGGTGTCCCTGCTCTGGATCACGGTGGTGTCCATGAAGGTACACCTCACACAGCGTGGCGATTCTTGATGGCGCAAATTGAATGGCGGAGTGTGCATGCAATAATAGCCTCAGACAAGCTACTTATAGGTTGGAAGTCGGAACGTGAAACCTGGGTCTTCAGATTCGTTTTCAGGGCTAAGAAACTTTCAAACATTTTCAAAACGTACACGGTACGCGCATGTGCCATTTCGATCACTTCAATCTATGAAGCCACAACCACTGGCTTGCAATGAGGTGCAAACAGAGAAGACTTCAAGAAATCGATAAACATCACACACCCTCAAACAATTGCAGTAAAGAGGAAAGCATATGGAAAGCACAGTCTCCTTCTTGAATCTTTCAGACCTGCTTCTTGGAGAACGTCGGTCCCCCCGTCACGGGGCCACCCCTGTCGCCTCACCCGTCCCACCTGGCGCCCTGCACCGTATCTCCCGGCACGAGCGAGTCGTAAGGGCCCAGCTGCTCCTGGAGGGCCGCGCTTCGACACGACCGATGAGTGCGAGGTGCACAAAGGAGGACGTGGATGACCTGGCGCCGCAGATATAGGGTTTGGGATGGTTTGAGGGTTGAGGGCTATCAGGAACATCCCAGGAGCTTGGGATGTTCTGGGGGTTTTGTTGATCCGTCGTTGTTTGCGATCTGCTCTTACGAGTTTCAGGGTTTGATCCGTCCGGTGTTGATGCCGTGGGGTCCGCGACCTCGCCGCCGTCTCGGCGGTTCCGGGACCCAACTGTTGCTCCACCTTTTCAAGAGTTTGGGTCACGACGGTCACCACCTAAACGACTCTAGACATTAACACCCCGGAGGGCCTGCAATGCGCTACGCAAAAAAAATAGAACACTGGTTGCAGTTCAGCTGAGAACGCGAGCAAGGGTCTTGGCACTGAAAGATGGTGTTTCCTCCACAAAACCCGTGGTTTTCAGGATCCATGCTAGTCTTCCGACAGGGTACATCCATTTGAACCGTAAAAATGAACAGCCGACAGGCCCGACAGGCGCGGTTCTTCCGGTCCCCAGAAACCATGTCCGCCTGTGGCAAGAAGCCAAAGACTCCCGTGGTCACATCCTGCAGGCGGGCGAGCGCAGGGAGGCGAGATCTCATGTGCAACACAGGATGTGAGGGGTTGCATCCTGGTGCGGCATCTTGTGGCCCTGTTGGAGCTCTCAATTGGTGACCTGTGGGGTGCTGGTATAGATTCCTCTCTCCAAGTCCTCTCGCCCTCTTGTGCCGCGTCCTGCACAATGGCACCTTCATCGGTGACCTCCATGACGAACAGCGCAAAGTCCCCTCAGATGCGTGCAGCAACACCCACCAGGCATGCGGCATGAGGCATGCCCACGAGGCACGGCACCACAGGGTCGAGTCGTTCATCGTTCGTGGACCGAAAAGCTGGAGACGTTGAGCATAGGCAGCTGACCTGGCAAGACCTGCTGCTCGTGGCGAAACCCATTCTGCCCCCCCAACCCAATCCGTGGCGAAACGCCCTTCTTCGCGGCGAGGGCGTTTTATGCCGTGAACCTGATCCGGTAGACATCTGTGAATTAGGTGGATGAGAGATGACGAGAGGTACGCCAGGACCAGCACGGAGCAAGTGAAAGCAAGTCATTTCAGCCCATGCACCGCCGAGTGGTTGAAGAAACACCTGAACCAACTACGAAGAAGAAGAAGAGAAGAAGAAGAAGAAGAACATCACTGCTTACCAGTAGTTTGGGTGGTTCCATGTGGATAGTGCAGGATTTCTTCCACAGAAAAATTTCGTCCATGGGCAGTACCAACACCGCGAATATGACCAGACTGTGACGCTTCAGCAGCTGCAAGCAAGCGACCTTGGTAGTGGTACCTGCAGGCTCTTGGCGCCTAGACGGAGCGTTAAAAGCCATTAGTGGCGCATACAATAACAGTTGCCTCTGAATCGGAAAATCATTCACCCACAAACTGCACCAAGCACTACACATCATATTAAACCGAAGACACCGAATGCGACGCACCGAGACTGCGACGCACCGAATGCGACGCAGCGCCGCGTTTGGGGTCCGGAGACCCAGATCGACCGAACCGCGAAGCCCTCACCGCGCCATCCTCGTGGGTGAACTCCGCGCGGCGTGCCACCCCCCTCCGCGCGCGGAAAAGGTCTGAAGCACTGAAGGCGCACTGCTGCTCCAAGGTCTTCATCTGCAACTTCCAATCGGGCACGATCCCTCCGCCGGCACGGGGCGCGTGAAGCGGCGACCGACGTGCGCGGCGTGCGCGACGTGCGCGGTGTGGGAAGAAGGACGAAGGTGGAAGGTGCGGGAAGAGGGACATGTGGGGCTAGGAACCGGGAAAAAAAACATCAAAGAAGTGGATTCTGCGCGAACCGCAAAGAATCAAGGAGAGTCTGGGAATGTGGGAAGGGAAGCAGTGGGAATTCTGCACTTGAGTCCATACCAGCTGCAGAGTTTGAAGTCAGAATCTGCGTTTCACGGGGCTAGGACGGTCAACATGACCTCGCAGGTGGAAAGGGCCGACCGGGGGCGAAGTGTGATAACAAGGTTTGCTCCGCTCCGATCCGGTGCTGAAAATCCTTTGGAGATGCTATACTGGCAGGTCGGAGATGCTGACGAGTGCTTTGGAAGTCAAGCGTCTTTGAAGTTCATACCACTTCATCGATTTGGGTTTGACAAGTCGGAGACGGACTATTTACCACGAAGTCAAAACCAAACCGTTCTCTTCCATGGTGTTCCTTCAAATCCTCAAGTGCCTCCTTCGCTTAAAGGTCACCACACACACAATGTGGAAGGGGCTTGGAGCCACGTCGGCCATGCCCGAATCCACCCAAATGCAGACAGGTCACGATTGTAGTACTTGTCCTTCTTGTAGAGGTATCTGTCAGGAACAAGCTTCGCGATGTTCGCAAAATCAGTTCGAAGAATCAGTTCGCGATGTCCCCAGTCCCACCTTCTCTGAAGGTACGACTGGAGGCCTGGGGTGTTTCAGCCAAGCAGACAAGTGTTTCCACCAGCCGAAGCATGAGCGGGGGAAGTGTTCCGACGACCTCAAAAAGGGACCGGTGGGATCCGGTGGAGCTTCCGAGGTTCTGCAAAAGCAAACAGGATGAATGGTAACAAGGCTCATCGTTCAATGAGGTCGACTGCCAATAAGCACCCAGTGCATCTTCAACTCGTCCCAACTCCCCAAACACAGAACAAACAAGAAAAAACAACATCACCTCTCTACCTCCTGAAGCAAACATCACCACCAACATCACCATCTATCACCCCCCAAGACAACCATGAATTTGATCGCGGTCCGTCCAAAAGGAGCACCCTCTGCTCCTCTCGCCGGACTGCTTCCACCACAGCAGCACTCAGAGCCCGAGGCCGTCGGCCCCTTCTCTTCCGTCCTCGGTCCCCTCCGTGTCCCTGCGCCTCTCGAGGGGTCGCTCCACTGGCTCCGGTAGGATCGACACGCTCCGCGACCGGCTCCTGAGGAGGGCAGGACGGCAGGACCCGCCGCGCGGAGGTGCGGTCTCAGACCCCGACACGGCGACACGGCGGCGACACGGCGGCGAGAAGGAACGAGGAAGGAACGAGGAAAGGAACGAGGAAAGGAACTGGAGACCGAAAAGGGGGATGTTAGTCATGTTACTCATGTTTAAGTATTAGAACTGCTGGAGGCCATGGAGAAGGATGGAGAAGGATGAGTTGAGGACGTTTTGCAAACAAGCAAATTGTGATATATAGTAACAACTAAGATCAACTAAGACTAAGATCGCTAGGTTTGGTGTGACAAGTTGGAGAGTCCAGAGTGTGCAATTGTGGATTGGTCCCTGCGTGATGAAGGCAAGTAGCTCAGAAGAAGCACCCTTTACAAATTCCTTGGGAGCATGTCTAGAAACCGGCTTGCTCTCTTTCAGGACTCTAGAAACCTGTGTTCCCTTCAACAAAGCGCTCTGTGGCACACGTTCCAGCTTTCTAACGCGCGGCCACGGGACTGCCATCTGTCACTCGCGGTGGATGGCGCTCGAGCCTCAGCCCAGAAGCAGCCACTGGCTAGAAAGGGTGTGAGATGGTGTGAGCCCAAGCGGAGGCATGGCGGGGTAGATGGCATGGAAGTGGCCCAAACCACAAGTGGATGGCATATCATAGGGCCCCTCCCCATGCCATTGACTTGTTAACCCCTACACCCAAAAAAGAACCGACATTTTCCTCACTGTTCCTCCACAGCTCAAGTGGATGAAGTGGCTCGTAGCTTGTAAGTACACCGTTCGTCCCGCCCCTCCAAAACTCTCGGGTCAACAGACTCAACAGGAGGAGATCTGTCAAAGGCATCCTTGCTCCATGCACCCGAGGCAGGCTCGTAGCCACGCTTTCAAACACCTGGAGTGGAACTTCAAGTCCGCACTCCTTCTTCGACCAGCTCGATACCACCTTTTGAGAGCTGCGATGCCCCCCCAAAAATGGGCGGGACTTCGACTGTTCCCAAAGAGACATCGATATTCGTCCCATCAAGGGAATCATCCAAATTGAGAAGATAATATGCAATATACCTGATGGTCGTCCCCCAACTGGTCGTCGCCGTAGCCGGGATACCACCTTGTCCCATCAGGGTCCCGTCAAAAGAACTTGCACAAGATTTACATGTCAACATGACATGAAGGCCATCCTGCAAGTGGTCCTCGCCCATCACCGTGACCGTTTTAAGGACGTTCCCGTCCCCGTCGTGTTCCTGCGAACCCCGCGCCAGTGGCTCCGCGCCAGCTTCTGCGACAAGGGCGCCGGCAGGAGGGCGAAGGCCGGTGACCTCGGTCGGAGGAGCCACCAGAGGTGGAAGAAAGAACCCTAAGGAACCACAGTCATGTGGCTCTTGAAAACAAAGAAAAGGCAACATATTGTACGTAAGAGTGGTGTGAGAATTATTAATGGTGTATGGCATGTCACGAGCGGGTGGAAAAACTGCGAAAGGCTGCTGTTCTTTGTCTTCGCTGCGCTGAAACATCTCCTCTTGCAACTCCTGTCCGGCACTGGATTTGTGTCAAGATTCTGTGCAGGCAGGCTTTGGGACGGATGTCCAAGCCGCAACATGGTGAAATTGATAGGAATCGTCTCAAACCAGCTGGTGAGCGACTTGAAACCAGTGCCTCGAAGTTGGTTCTGTCTGGGTGAGAATGAGGGTCTCCCCACACCATGCATTCGCAAAGAAACGATGACTGACTCATGGTAAAGTCCTAGCCTCACCATTCCGTAAAGTAAGCTTGCACAAGCTTTCCATACAAAAAAAATGTCATCGATCAGAAATTGAGAACCAGTTCATGTTGCGTTTCATCCTCGTACCTTGATGTACCTTGCACCTGAATCGACCCGACCATGTTGTTTTCGGCTCAGCCGGGTCGTGTTGGGCGAAACGGTGCCACCTCCACCTGCTGGGCCTCACCAGGCAGCTGGAGGCCGAACGGCGTGGGCCAACCTCCTGTGCGAACTTGGGCGTCTTCAAACCTCCAGGACTCCTGTTTTCGAACGCTGGCGAGACTCCAGGGACTGGACTTGGGCGTCGGGCAGGGACTCCGGGGACTTAGTTGGGAAAGAACACCAACCATGTACTGTGACCTGCCTAGCACTTGCATAGGTTATTGAACACGCGATGCCGATCGGCATGTGATTGAACACCGCAGCATTTGGGGCTGTAAGACTCCAGTGTTGATGGTTGAATAAAAGGCACCCCCTCTTCCCTGGCCATCGGTCCAACAGTCCAACATCTCCAGATCCTTTTTTCAGGGCTGTTGATCAAACCCCGGCTCAACATCTTCAGCTTGCGGCGGGCATTTGACTCATCATTCATGTGACTCAATTGACTCATTTATGTCCACTCCTCAAATCCTCTCCATGGATCTGGGGCCTTGGAGAATGTCCAAGGCCCATGAAGGCCCATGACTCAAAGGTCGTCGGTTTTGGGTGAGTTTCAGTGCCCAGTGCCCGGAAATAGCAACACAATCTTCTTGCTTGGGGGGTGGTGTTCAAGGAGGAGGCCCTGTCACCTGCACTGTCCTTCGCACCTTCGTCCAACCCTCCCAAAAGCACCTGAGGCTTAGTAGAAGCCGCGGAGCACCGCTATGAAGAGGCATAAGATGACCACGTAGACGGCACTCGTCACCTTGGGATGTACGAGCCTAGCTCCACATCCGACCCGGGGGACCTGGGAAAGGCGGGGGCGTCTCGGGCTCCGCGAAGGACGGACACCTGCGACCTGCAAAGCATCACTGGTTGGATCGGTGGAAGATCTACTAGGGTCAGAGACCGGTCCTTCTTTCGGAGCTTCCCGGGCTGTTTTTTGGCAGGAGCGGCGGCAGAAGCGGACGGTGGTCTTCCAGAAGGACCATCACCACAGATTCCAGGAATCAACTGGCTGGTGACACTGGGCTGAGATCATTGGGGTTTGAATGGAGGTGGCATGGCCATGGGCATCTGATGCTATCGGAATCAAGCTGGTGCCCCCACGCCAGTTTCATGCTTAGCAAGATATCTCTCTTCCTATAGTCCCAAGTGGTCTTCACATGCAACCTCTTCCAAGCGGAAAGGATTCTGCACCTGATTTCACCACATGTCAGGCGCCAGACCCATGCAGGTGGAACGCCCTTTTTCTTCGTCCGGCTCCCAGCACTGCGCGACGGTGCGAGGAGTCTCAGCGCGCATGGGACCTCGGTGGCCCCCGACGGGTCGGTGGAGATTGGAGAGGCCGTGGTGGTCACCGATCCTCAGGACGGTCATGTAGCAGCGATCCTTGGGGTCATGGCAAGAGGGTTTTGGTTTTCGTCAAACCTTTTATAGGCTCCAATCTCTCCAAAAGAGGTAGAGCAAAAAAAGTATCAAACATGCATAAAGAATGTCACACTCTTTGTCTAGTTTATAGCCCATGCCAATCACAGGCAACCCAAACGGTGCTAGCCGAGCTTTTTCGCGTCCCCCCCAAACGAGTGGTGGCACGTCTGGTCGCCGACCTGAGTAGCGGGCGCGAACCTCGTTCGTTCGGTGAGACAAACGATACCGAGCGACCGAAGAAAGGTGGCAAAGTCTCTGATGTCGTGCTCCTGGTAGGGTAAACCTCAGGATCACTCAAATATCATGCACAAGTTTGACCAAAATCCCAATCCAAAAATATGGAAGCGATCTACCACCAAACAGAAGCAACACAAAATGTTCGCTACCCGACGGGGTCCATTACATGCCTTCCACCACCGAAACACAAACCCTGATCCGACGACTAATTGGGAGCCAAGAAACCCAGTTTCTCCAAATACGCCACCTCCGCCGTCTGAGATGCACCGAGACCAGTGTTGCGGCGTGCCTCGTCCTTGGCATCGGCGTCGCAGAGCTTCTCCCAGGGAAGCTTGCCGCATCCCACTTTACCTCAGAACGCGCGCAGTAGAGTGGTTTCCGTTTATTCACAGTTCACGAAGAGCTTGAGTTTGGGCCTTGGATGTTCCAAGGGAATTGGTTCCAATGTGAGGGATGTAAGGTGGATCCCAAATGGTGGTCACAACAGTTCCCCAACGAAAGCAGCTCAGCATCAAGGGTCCTGGATCCAAAAAAACCACTGCACCATTGACGTGTCAAAACGTCAAACATCTCACCGGCACCAAGGATCAATTGTCAGTGTGTCTTACTCTAGGTTTTTAGTCAGGCCGTAAAGCAATTCCCTCTGGATGACGCTGCATGGGTTCGTTCTGCAAAGAAATTGTTTGTCCTGTAAGCCTTGGAGAAAGCCCTGGGATGTTTTCAAGTTTACATGCATCGTTTTTGAACGTGTGGCTCCATACGTCATCCGACATAAGTTTCATGCAGCAACTCTTTGCAGAGAGGTACCTTCAAAGTAGAAGACATGGAGGATCTGCCCCCCGTTCATGAGCCTCGTTGAGGTTCTTGAGCCATTCCTCGAGTCAAAGTGGTAGTGAAAACACTCGAAAGGGCCGGTCTGAGGCTAGTCAGTCAACCATGGAGAAATCCTGTTGGTAGAGGGGCTCCCATATTTTCAGACCTGCAAATGGAAATTTGGAAGTCTCATGAAGTCTCTCATACCAGGAGTCACAAAGGGGAGGTGTTTAGTCCCTCAGTGAGTGGATGTGACAGGGGCACCCCTATCCTCCAAGTCCGGCACCCCGTCTTGTGACTGCTGGTATTTGGTCGTTTCTGAAAAAACATCTGCAAATCGGCCCCTGCCTGGAACCACATGCATCCCCAGGGCGCTCGGCCCCCATTCTGCCGACAGAGCTCCTCCGGAGCGGAAGAAAGATGCGTAGCGCTGAAAAAGGGGGCGACCCATGGGTCTCTGCCCTTCTTTTGCTTTGAAGACTTGGAGCCTAAACCATCATAAACCTACAACCAGGTCTTCTTGGTTGTAAAAGCGTGGCCTTGAGGATACCTACCAAACGCATCCAAAACCCAGCGGTAGCAGCCGACAAAGCAACGAAGACCGAAACCTCAGCAACACGGTCCAAGTCCGGTGCCAGCCCGGACGATGGTCCTCAGCCTTCTGCAAGGCCTGTGCCAGCTCTGTCTCCCATTCGAGATCACATTGATCTTCCTCAAATCGCTCTGTGGGACGAGCTGTTCTGTGGGTTTCATGATTAGTGGTTCACGTGCATGTACAGTTGGCTCAGTTGGCTCAGAAAAAAATTGATCTCTTCTTTTGGTACTCCATGACTGTACACCCAGAACCTTTATCGTTGACTATTGGAGGCAGTCAGTCCATTTACAAGGTCTTTACATAGCATGGATTCATCAACATTCCAAGGAACACCCCTCAGCTTCAGCCTTCTCCTATAGACCAAAAGCACAGCCCCGGTCCTTGATCACTAAGACCAGCCCCATTGCGAGCGCATCAGCCTTCTTGAAGGCCAGCTCTTCCTCCGTCAGCGGTCCATTGACCTCATCGTGCATGTCCACAACCATCAAGTAGGCACTGCCTGGCTGAAGAACTGAAGTGAGATATCCCAACAACCGAGTTTTGTCGTGAATCCGCCCACGTCAGTTGTCTCCCATGAACTAAATTCTTGGTCAAGCGATATCAAGCGCGGATATTATATATATATACATGTATGTATGTATGTATGTATGTATGTATGTATGTATGTATGTATTTTTCCTAAAGACTTTTATGCCTGCAGAACGAGAGGTTCTTTGACCTATGCCGCACGGCTGCCAGCTGCATGGATGTGGTTCTTCGGCTAGAAGAAGTCGACTTCAAGCACTGGATCGACGGTTTCACTTTCCGTGTCTTCTCCAAAGGAAGCTGAGGAGCGTGACCTGCTTCTTTTGGTAACTTTTGGCTGCAAAGCCGGCGGTGCATGTGGCATTTGGCTGTCAGGCTGGGGTTCATGGCCTGTGTCGCCGTAACTGGCTCGGTTGTGGGGAGCCGTTGGTGCCTTTGCCTGTCTGTTGGCTGCACTGTAGTGAAGTTGCCTTGGAACCAAAGGAGACAGGATGGTCTGGCTTGGTGCTGAAGCAAGGTATCCCAGAGGTGGCTGGGTATCATGGCCTGCCTGGGTCTTGCTGGTAGTGTCAGACTCATGTGTGGTTGGCTCTCCTGGTTTAGTTTCAGGCTGTCCTGTAGTCTTGGCTGGTGGAGTTTGCCTTTTGAAGAACTCAGACAAAGGCGGAGAGGCCGCAATGGGCGCCCCTTTACACGCCTTCTGCAAGGTGGCTGTTGCTATGGGCCTGCCTTGAGCATCTGTGTGCGTTTGGGTGCCACAGTGCTTGCAGTGGATTCGATCTCCTCGTTGCCAGAGGAGATGGGTGGAGTGTCCACTGTGTTCATGTTCAAAAGGCTGGTTGACACATGGACCTTGCACATAGGCGTTGAAAGCTTCTTCATTCGTCCTTTTGTGGATGCTCTGTCCACAAGTTGTGCATCGCAGATACCCTTTGGTTTCTTCAAGGGTGTGGGCACTGTCTGATTGCTGTTGAGCCTGTTTCTCAATCAAACTTGCTATCAGCTGTGCCCTGGTGGCCTTGCGATGGATTGGCTTGTGTGGGCTGCGCAAATCAGGGTGTGCCTCATCAAGCTGGATCTGCGGACAGGGCTGTTGGATGCGTTCCTCAATGGTGGATGCCGTCAGTGCCTGGTGGACTCTGATGCCACAGGCACTACACTGGTAGCCGCTTCGGTGGGGTTGCCATCGGTGAAAGGGGGCCTGCCATGCTTTGGTGCAGAGTTTGACCAGCTGTTTCTTGTGTTGTTTGGTATGCCGCCCTTGATGCCGGTTGGGTTTTTGATGCAAGTAGTGCTCTTTGTCTTGTTTTTCAGCGGCCAGGCGAGCAGCAGCATGTGTGTAGATGGTCTCATGGTCTTGGTCGAGGGTGTGCTGCCAATCGGTGGCTCGTTTGTTTTGGAGCTGGGTTGCACGCTCCCATGCCGTTAAGGCTGCATCTCTTTGTCGTCGCCTGAGATGTGGCTCGCTGCCAGGTGTGTCTGGTGTGCGTGTATTGCGGCTGATGTAAAGGACCGTGACCCTGTGAAAGTCAGAGTCAGTCAGACCCTGGTAGAGGTCCTGATGTTGTGCTCGATGTCGGGTGTCAGTCCACGCCTCCCAGACTGCTGCAACCTGAACGATGACTTTGACAGCAATGCTGGTGTGCTTGGCCAGGGCAACTAAACCAGCTAGCAGGGCTCTTGTTTTTGTCTGTGGACTGTCTGGCACTCCAGTGATGGCCCCAAGGCGCTGCAATTGTCCAGTGCGCATGACGTGGACACAGAGCCCAAAAACCCAGAGCTGACTTCTGGTGTCATATGTGGAGGGGGTGGCGTCAAGGGTAAACGCCCACCCTTGGTGCTGATGGGCTTGGAGCATCTGCAGTCCTTGCCATACCCCATGTCCTTGGTAGGGATGGTGCTGAGTGAGTTGCTCTTGTGGCTCCAGGGGGATCCAGCCTGCATTCCACAAAGGGTCTTCATCATGCTGAGTCGGCCTCTCTGCCCATTCTGGAGGCATTGGTTGATGGCCTTTGCCTTTGTGCCACTTGCACATCCAGACAATGTGTTTGGGCGTGGCTGGTACTGCACAGACTGGGCATGGTTTGGGTTTGCCATTCTCGCGGTAGTGGATGGCACCTTGGACCCATGTGCGGAGGCAAGTGCGATGCTCTTTGGGCAGTTTG